TATTTACCGAGAGTAATCTCAAGGCTCTCGGCAAACTCTAGCTCTCGGCAAACTGGCGCGCCCTGGTAACGCCCAAACGACCGCTAACGGTGTGACAGCTTCTTTACCGAGAGCGACCGTCGGCAAAGAACTTCTTTGCCGAGAGCGACAGTCGGCAAAGAACTTCTTTGCCGAGAGCGACCGTCGGCAAAGAACTTCTTTGCCGAGAGCGACCGTCGGCAAAGAATTGTTAAAAAAAAAGATTTGCGGCAGAGTCGGTGTTCAAAAAAAAATATAGGTTTGCCGAGAGCCGACCATCAAGCTCTCGGCAAAGAGGCATATTTGCCGAGAGTCGACCACCAAGCTCTCGGCAAAGAGGCAGATTTGCCGAGAGCCCTACTCTCGGCAAAGAGTCCACAGAGCATTTTTTTTGTTTTTGAGAGCATTTTTTTATTTTTGTTTATATTTTCAGCTTCAACAACACATATTTCACAAATATAACACATCATCCACATCACATATATCACAAATATGTCAGCCACATCATATGTCTCACATTATAATCCATCTAAACATCTCAAATCCAACGACACATGTCCATCTCAAAGTGCTAAGTTCATCTCACACAAGTTCATGTCACAAAGTGCTAATACATGATGAAGAACAACAGGCTCACCCCCAAGGCTCCCACCCTCCCGACGGCGGCTGCTGCTGCGGCGGAAGGTGTGGATACGGCTGGTACCCCGACCCTCCCGACGGCTGCTGATGCGGCGGAAGTTGTGGATACGGTTGGTGCCACGACCCTCCCGACGACGGCTGCTCAGGCACATCATTCGAACCCGCCGATTGATTCTACACAAAGGAGAATAAAAATTAGTAATTATAGTAATACTAAGGCATATAATTGTAATCTAAGCGTAGACAAGTCAAAATTTGTAGAACTAGGTATAAAATTGTAATCTAAGCCTAGACACATCAAAATTTTTGGCAGAAGACTCCCCCCGCAGTTGGGTTTCCAAAACCTGCAAGAAAACCAACGGCACGATGGCCGCCAAGCACATATCAATGGCATGATGGCCGGCACACATATATATCAATGGCACGAAGGCCTCCCATCACATCAACGGCACGATGGCCAACATGTACAGTAAAGAGCTTTTGTTAGAGAAGTTGAACTCACGTATGAGTAAGGTGGGTATGGGTAAGGCGGTGGAGGAGCGAACAACTCTAATGGCGCTGGACGACCCATCGTGACGCCAAGACTTGCCGCATCTTCGAGCCAAGGCGTCAAACCTCGCCCGCTCGGCCTCCCACCTCTGTCGCTCGGCCTCCCGCCTCCCTCTCGTCGCTCTTCCTCCACCCTAGCCTTATGCTCCTCGGCGCATGCACTGAGCCTATAATTTTTCACCGCATTGTTACAAGCAATTTCGAGGAATGTAAAACCAATGAAGCATTTAATAAAACAGAAATAACTCTGTAGTGCTTTGCCACACGATGCGTCGAAGTGTCCTGCTTTCATGGCGTATGGGCACGCGCATCGCTTCGTCCGCTTGTCCGGACTTGTGAGAGAGTGGGAGTGGTGTATGGGTCGGCGTGCTTTGTTGGCGATGAGGTACCGCCCATGCTTCTTGCCTCCTCCCACCCTCATGACGATGTCGCCGTCAATGTCTGCGGTGTGCGGATCCCAGTCTGCCCCATGGACTCCCCTTGCCGCCTTGGTGTACTGACTGATGCGCTCGGGGATGCTCTCGTTGGTGAACGACTCGGCTGGGTCGTCCGGGTTCCAGTTGATGTTGTATGTCGCCTTGCCCTTGTGGGCCAGAACCCATGACTTGAGCTCTCCGCATGGCTGGTTTTGATGTGCAGCCGACTACGAGAAAACAACAAGACGATTATAAATCATGCAGGAATAAACGTCTGAAAGAATAAATGAAGCTACACCAAGTCACGTACCCATCTAGCCCCGAATTCGTGGATGTTAAGGTTGCCCTGGTGGTGTGATACACCTGGCATCAGCAAACGTCGTTCCCGGAGGACGGTGTGGTTATCCACCCAATTGCCACTCACCCACCTGTCGACCATCATCTGCTAGGCCCGCGTTTTATTGGCGCACCAGCCTGGAGGCACCTGTACGACATCAAGTACATTGACAGATATAAGAACAATTGAAGCCTACCCAATCTCAGAAGAAATCAATATTGATGTTGTATATTTACCTTCAGGTACTGCTCTTTGGTCAGATGCATTAATCTTGCATCTTCTTTCTTTACCTTCCGATGCTCGTAGACGGCACAGTAATCGATGATGGCCTGGAGCCGCGCCTCGTAATGCATGTCTGAGATGCGACCTCTAAAAGATTTGGCCACCGCCTTGGCCGCCCTCGCCTCGTAGCCCTCGGCGCATTTGAAGAAGTCCTGCATATAGAAAAGATGTATCAATACACTGGTTCAAGAAACTCTAGCGAATGCAATGTATTGAGCAAAGTAGTGGGAGGAAGACTTACCCAAAACTCGCACATAACCCGCTCCGCCACGCTTTCATATGTGCGTCCCGTCTCATCCTCCGCATCAGGGGCGGCGACGTAGTGCTCGTACGTGTAGGCCGGCTCCAGAGCTTTGGCGTAGCGAACCAAGCCTGGGAAGTGTTCCCTACAGAGAAGACCCAGGATGCCATTGGGCAACCTTTTGTGAGCACCTGGGACCACGACCTTCCAAGACCTGTGTAAGTGATTAAGAAAAAACTATTAGTTTCCATTGTGATTCTATCATATGTAGGAGCGAAAAAAATGTAAAAGTTACGTACTTTTGCCCAACAGGTCGAATGACCGGGCGTAGAGCCTCAGGTATCGGCCGCTCAGGTAGGCTCGCCGGACCTCATTGGTAGACACCCGAGGTTCCGGTGGAACTGGAACCGCCTGCCTCGGCGTCCTGCTCGTCCTCCCGCTCCTCCTGCTCATCCAGCTGCTCGGCCTCCTGCTCGGCCTGCAGCTCGTCCTCTCCCTGCTGAGCCTGCTCGTCCACCTGCTCTTCCTCCCGCTCCTCCTCGGGCTCTGGTGCGATGAATGTTATCAAAGTGATGCCTTGCTTCACCATCGGCTGGATGTACCATCTTCTCAAGACTGTATCTTTTTCCATTTTTGTGCCATATCATCTGTTTCGCGGACTCCTCTATCATGAATAGCCTTGGATCCTCGGTATGAATGGAAGGTACCGTAGGATTTTCATGGGGTACGGACTCTGCCTCTTCTCACCATCACCAGAGTCTACCTCCAGATACCTAGAGGATTTACACTTTGGACAGTACTTTGCATCCGCATGTGCTTTTCTAAAGAGGACGCAGCCCTTCGGACAAGCATGTATCTGCTCATACGGCATCTTAAGTGCACGAAGGACCTTCTACGATTCGTACATGTTCTGTGGCAGAAGGTGACTGGCCGGAAGGATGGAGCCAATAACTGTCAACATTTCATCAAAGTTCTCTCGACTGAGGTTGAACTGGGACTTTAAGGCCATTAAGCGTGAAATGCCATCAAGCTTTGAAATCTGTGTGTGGCCATGAAGGGGTTTCCCTACCGCAAACAACATGTCGTAATACGCCTTTGCGCTTGCCTCTGGCTCCTCCTCCTGCTGCCGACGTCCGTCAGTGAAGTGTGCTTCATGAAAGTCATCTAACTAAGCTGCTACCCTGGCATCAGCATTGTAATCCTCGACACGTGGTCTCACCACCTCCTCTCTCACATGATCGGCTTCACCGTGGTGGGTCCACTAGGTATAGTTTTTCGTAAATCCATGCCTAGCCAGATGTGAAGTCATCACCTCCTTTGTCTGCCTCTTTCTGTTCTTATAGTTGATGCAGGGACAAAAAACAGCACGCGCTCCGGGAGCCTGGTCAAATACTTGCTTGATGAAAGCCTCGGTCTTGTCGACCCATTCTCTGGTAATCTCACGGGCGCTCCGGCGGCCCGAGTACATCAACTCACGGTCATCCATCCTCTAACATATATATCACCAAGTAATAAATATAACCATGGACTTGCTTCTACACGTCGTTCCTACCATCTAATAGGTAAGGATAGGTCCTAATCCCACCCGAGGATGCGTAGATGGTGTTAGTTCCCATGGTCTGGTCCTATCTGAAATAGAATTTCGACAGCACCTCCCCGCTGTTCTCCAAATACACGTCCCGATAGGGAGATTGTGTATCCGGAGAACAACAGGAAGGTACTGTTGAAACTCTATCTTGGATCGGAGCAGACCATGGAAACTAACACCATCTGCGCATCCTTGGGCTGTCCAAAAAACGTGGACAATTCAAAACAGATACGGTTATTGATATGCAAAGATCTGCATATTTCTAACCGTATCTCTTTCGAACGGGAGACACCTAACTGGGTTACGTGGAGATACATGACCAGGACAAAGAAAGAGTGGTTATATCTTAGGTGGCGGTGAAGTCAGGCTAGCGGGGCCGTGGCGGGTCTGTGCAGTGGCGAGGCGACGCGGTGCGGGCAGACCTGGGGACACCGGGGTACTCCAACTCGGCTCCTGCAAAAAGAAAGAAAGAAGCAAAATAACGTCAACTCAAAAATTCGGCAGCATCTCCCCTGAACGGTGAGGTTTCCAAACCTGAAAGAAAACCACGGCACGATGGCCGACAACCACATATATATCAAGGAACCACATGCAGCTTAATTATCAACTACTACTACTCTAACTACTACTACACTAACTACTACTACCACTACTAATACCACTACTACAACTACTAACTACTAACTACTACTAATACCACTACTACAACTACTAACTACTACTAACACTACTACAACTACTACTCTAACTAATACACTAGGTCTGCAGATGCATGCATGGTACACTAGATCAATATAGGTTGATCCCTATGCGTACCTTGCACTTCATATAACATATTCATTCTAATTCACATCGGTAAAAGAAAAAAAGACAGAACTAAACGAAAATGATAGGGCGGCAGGAACAGAAATAGTGTACTCCTACCTAGCTATGACGAATACACAGTTGAGTGGGGTATGTAAGTGAATTGGTATGGTTTTCAGCTATACTATTTCTTATTTTCCTGGCACACAGAAAGTTGATGAAATATGTTTATTGATGAAAATGCATATTTCTGAATATTATTAAAGTTTTTAGCTTCCTGAAATGATATGGGGGCTAGATACGATCCAAATATGTTTATTGATGAAAATGCGCTAATTGCTAATAGATGGGCTAATTTTTAGCTAAACCTTCAACCAGTTGTTAGCTAACTCTAGCTCTAGCTGATCCAAGTATGCCCTGTATCAGTTACGATACCTGCATTTCATCAGGAGCAGTTTTCTTTTTATGTGGAAACTAATACATTTATGGACCCTACATTTATTCATTTGCAGATACCAGTCTGAAGCCCTGATGCCACACCATAAAGTAATTTCCCTGCTCTGATTGCACCATCTATAACCCAAAACGTTCATGTATCAATGCTAATGTGCTGCGTTCCTGTTTCGTGCACGTTCTTCAGTGTCCACTGCCCCAGTGCGGGAGAGAGACGCCTGCTGGGAGTACTGCGACAAGCTGGATGGAAACAAGGTCAGATGCAGGTTCTGTCACAAGGTTCTCAACGGCGGCATCTGCAGGCTCAAGTTCCACCTGTCCCAGATCCCCAGCAAAGGGGTGAACCCTTGCACCAAGGTGAAGGAAGACGTCATTGACAAGGTGAAGGCTATCATCTCGGCCAAGGAAGAGTACAAGGAGTTCCAGCTTCTCAAGAGGCAGCGTGTAGCCGAACTAAAGCAAGAGGTCATCTTTGGATTAAGGTTTCAGAAACCGTTTGGCATAAACCAACACAGTAGGAAAGGAACACCACAAACCTTAAATCTCCCAACAAATAGTGCAACAAACACTAATCAAAATACAGGGGGAAAATCCTTAGATCCAGCTATCCAAAGAGTAGAAAATTAACACACACACTGGATCAATGAGCGTCACTAACACATTTCTATGATTGAAAAATATTTTCCTGGTCCTTTAATTCAAAAAACACACTGTTGTATACTGACATAGTTCTTGCCATAATCAGGTTCTTGCAGAAGTTTTCAAATCAATCTTACTCTTAGTATAGCTATGATCGTACCAAAGTAAATCTTGGTTTATGGGGGAACAACAAATAGGAAAGCAGTACGAGGTCTATGTCAACTACTTTGAAGACCATAATTAGTAAACTGGAGCTAAATTATTTATCATATCATAGCATTTAACATGTAGGAGTAACATACAACTAGAAACACAAAACTCAACTCCTAAGCTAGATTCATCAAGTTCAGTTATGGAAATATTAGGTAAGAACAAGGATGAAGTCATAAAACAATGATGAGAAAGCATCAGTTGTTAATGTCATAAGTAGGCGTTCCTCCAAGATCAAAGGCACGAACAGCTCATATTCTCATAATCTGATATCAAAATGTTCATTGTGGAAATCGTCAATGCGTATAATCTGAACGCACAGAAATCGGAAGGAGTACAGGGAAAAAAAACACCACCCTAATCCAGTGGCTAGCATTTTCAGGTTCTTGCCTCGGCGGTCTATTGTTCCATCTCCACCCTCCCCGACTCTAAAGGCGACTCACCCCAGTTCATGCAGTGTGGGGAACTGGGGTTATCCATGGCGACCAAATTCCACAACAGAGGAAGAAAGAATAATCCATTACAAGGAAACGCGGTAATAGCTGTACCACGGTTAGGCACGGGAGGGGGATGGTTTCAGCCTCCAGCAGCCGGGGGTTCGCGCAGGCCGTGACGGAAGAACAAGGCACCAGACCGCCGCAGTCGCTTAGGGAAAAAGGAGGAGTGAGGAAGAGTCTCGACTCGGTGCCCTTTTGGCGGAGGATGCAGAATCGCTTGGGGAGAGGACGGCGCGCCACTCCTCCTCGCCTCCTCGCTATGGGCGCGGGACGAATGATCTGCGTCGTTGGCGTGCGGGGCGAGGCGCCGTGGCCGTCGCGGCGTGGCGGGTCAGGGGCGGCGAGGTTTCGGGCGGAGCGGCGGCGGCATGAAGGCGTGGCCAAGCGTGGCGGGCATGGGCGGCGGCGGGCTGCGTCAAACAGTTCACCTTATGGGCTTGCGTGGTCTGCGAAAACGGTTAAGTGGTGAAGCCACTTTGCCGAGAGCCAGATCTGGGAGGCTCTCGGCAAACCTTCCCCCTTTGCCGAGAGCCCCCATATCCGGCTCTCGGTAAAGTTATTTTTTTTTCAAATTTCGTTCGAATTTTTTAACTAGCTAACTGCACAAAAAAATATTAAAAAAATAAAAATTATTATTTGCCGAGAGTAGCTCTCGGCAAACTGAACAAAAAATGATATTTCTAAAAAAAATAAATCTCGAGAGCAGCTCTCGGCAAACCTCTTCGCCGAGAGCCAGCTCTCGGCAAACCATTGATCCAGGCCAGGTAAAAAAAAAGAAATCTGCGCCAAGAGCGGGCCTAGTTGCTCTCGGCAAAGAGCCTTTGCCGAGAGAAATTCCCTGAAGCTCTCGGCAAATAATATCGAAAAAAAAATTAATAAACAGCAAACAGCTCTGGAAAAATACGAAATTTTGCCGTGTTACAACTTATGCTCTCTAATGGCTATACAAAAAGTTTGGAACTCCAGAACTAATTCGACCGTGACATTGTTTGAAAATCCTAATGGATCCTTCTCAACTTTATGAAACTTATTCGGAGATGTCTCAGATTGTAAGAATCATACGCAACCACTTGTGCGAAATATTTTCAATTTTTTACCACAGCCTCCAAGTGTGATACCATGGCTTCATTGCAAATATCACAATTTTCCGACTTCGTTTCCTTTTTTAAGAATTTTTAAATCATTGGGCGACATATGTTCGTGGTCTTCGATTCGTAAAATGAAAGGTGAAAAAAACGTCAACAAGATGTTATTTGCCCTCAATAATGCATAAATAGCATGAATATCATTTTCTACTTAATTTTTTCCCGTGTTTAAATCAATCGCTGTTCAAATTTTAATCGATTAAAAAAACTCCTTGAAATGCAATTAATTAATTATATATAGCAAATAATTACAAAAATACACAAAATTTTAATATTGAGTACAACCTGTAGTATGTCTATAGAGAAAAAAAGTTTGGAACATACGAAAGAAAAAATAATTTAATTGAAGAGAGTTAGGAGAAGAGAAACACATGCACATGAAATATAGAAACCACCTTTGCCGAGAGTCTGGGAGGGGCTCTCCGCAAATATTTACCGAGAGCAGCGCTCGGCAAGTTGCCGAGAGCAGTAATGGAGGGGCTCTCGGCAAAGCGGTGACGCCGTCAGGGCAAGTCACGGCTATGGGCCTGCGACAATGTTTTTGCCGAGAGCCTGATTTTGCCGAGAGCGCGGCCTACGGCAAAGGATCGTTTTGCCGACGGGCATTTTTTGCCGAGCGCGGCTCTCGGCAAAACGGCCCACTTCGCCGAGAGCTGTTGCTTGCCGAGAGGCAGGCCCACGGCGATCCTGTCAGTTGCCGACGGCTGGTGTTTGCCGAGAGCCGCTCTCGGCAAACGTTTTCTTTGCCGAGAGCCCGCGTTTTTGCTCTCGGCAAAAATCTAGGATCTCAGCAAATGACGTTTTTCCGGTAGTGGGTGTCAGACTGAATACCAAACAGCTGTGGCACCATGGCTTCATTGACAAAAGAGGAAGAGCTGCCGGAATCGATGAGAATCTGTACAGGTACTTGCTGCTGTAAGAGGCCCACCAGGCAAACAGTGCGTGCAGCCGGAACACCAGACAGAGCGGACTTGGACAATGCCATCATCAAGTGTTCGGACGGTGAAGATTCCGGAGAAGAATCACCCAGAGAATTAGTAGATGAAAATGAATCCCATAACGCATCAACAGCTTGTAACACTTCTGGTGGACAGCGATGATCCTTGCTCCATTTGGCGCCGCACTTGTAGCAGAGGCCAAGCGCGCGCCGATATGTCTTGATAGCCGCCAGTTTAGCATCCATGGACGCGCTGGGCGAGGACGCCGGAAGCGCGGGCGAGGGCTTCTCGGCGCGGGGAGGCGGTGGAGGAAGTGGCAAGGGCACCCGCGCAGGCAGAGCAAGCTTGTACGCCGAGTACCAGTCACCACCACGCACGGGCTTTGCAGCAACTGGCGTGGCCACCTCTTCCTGCAGCAAGGCCAAGGAGCAAGCAGTATCAAAGGTTTTTGGGCGCTGAACGAGTACGACTGCTTTGATTTCAGGCTTAAGACCATTGATGAAACGCATGGTAAAGTACATGGGATCAGTGGTTTGTGAGTAGGCATTGAGTTGATCGACAAGTTCAGAGAATTCGGTGACATAGGCTGAGACTGTGGTTTTCTGATGGATATTGAACAACTGACGAAGTAGAAGTTCATGCTGGTCACGATCAAAGCGGTCGTGAAGCAGACGACAGAAGCGATCCCATGTGGCGTTTTGGAGTTGGGCATAATGGACTGGTACCAGCGGTCAGCAGGTCCCTCAAGATACATCTCTGCTACACTGAGCCAAAGTGGTTCGTCAACTTGATACATGGAAAAGTATTTATCGCAACGGGGTTCTCACCGTCAGGGAAAATTTTATCGGCCGAAATCTCCCGATATTTCCGATATATCCTTTTTATCCGTAGGTGCCGATAAGAAAATATCTATCTTTTTCATATAAATTTTGTTTAAATTTATTTAAATTTACTTAAATTCAAATTAAATTTTATTTAAATTTGGTCCGATATTTCCGATATATCCTGTTTATCTTCTTTATCTGTGAGCCCCGATAAATTTTAATTTCCAAAAATGAAAACCTTGCTCACCGTTGAACTTTGGAAACGGTAGTTTAGGAAGACGACTGAGGTTGGCGGTGATTTGGGCTGGATCAGGGGGGTGTGGAAGAGGATTGGGATTGGGTGGGTGGTAGGAAGGATTGGGGTTGGGCGGGTGGGTTGAGAGGGATCTGGTGGGTGGTGGATAGGATTTGGGATGGACTTAGGATGAACAAGCGAAACAGATTCGAAACAGTTTATAACCACGGAGTGCCTAGCTTGATAAAAAGCACAAGCCTGGAATTTTCTAGCGTACTACGTATACTACTGAGCTCCTGAAAAAAAAAAGAGAATCTAAATCGATCAGACAGATTCTGTCTGTATACGGGTATATATTTTCCTTTGCCATAGCTATCTACAACATCCTGATCGGCAAGCCTCCACTCTCAGACCAATAACCAAAGTTGCCAAATCCATTTTGAGCACAACCACTATTGGATTCAGGTTCTTTGTCGAGTGCCCGAGGCACTCGGCAAAGGCCAAATTACACTCGGCAAAGGCTTTGCCGAGTGCGGCACTCGGCAAAGAACACACGGCAAAAAATTAATCGGCAAAGCCCTCTTTGCCGAGTGTCTTTTATCGGGCACTCGGCAAATTGCCGAGTGCCCCGGGGACACTCGGCAAAGAAAAGCGACCGTCAGGGCGCCGGTCCCGTTGACAGTCACTTTGCCGAGTGCCAACCCTGCAGGCACTCGGCAAAGATTTTTTATTTTTTTTTAAAAAAATTCTTTGCCGAGTGCCAACACTGCTCGGCAAATAACACACGGCAAAAAATTAATCGGCAAAGCCCTCTTTGCCGAGTGTCTTTTATCGGGCACTCGGCAAAGAAAAGCGACCGTCAGGGCGCCGGTCCCGTTGACGGTCACTTTGCCGAGTGCCAACCCTGCAGGCACTCGGCAAAGATTTTTTATTTTTTTTAAAAAAATTTCTTTGCCGAGTGCCAACACTGCAGGCACTCGGCAAAGATTTTTTTATTTTTTTTAAAAAAATTTCTTTGCCGAGTGCCAACCCTGCAGGCACTCGGCAAAGAGTTTTCTTTATTTTTTACAAAATTTCTTTGCCGAGTGTCAACCCTTTAGGCACTCGGCAAAGATTTTTTAATTTTTTTTAATTTTTTTTTTCTTTGCCGAGTGCCAACCCTACAGGCACTCGGCAAAGAGTTTTTATTTTTTTTAAAAAAAAAATTCGTTGCCGAGTGTCCTCTATTCGGCCCTCGGCAAAGATGTTTTATTTTTTTTTCTAAAAATTCTTTGCCGAGTGCCCCCTTTCCGACGCTCGGCAAAGTTTGAATTTTTTTTTAAAAAAAATCTTTGCCGAGTGCCCTTTGACCGGCACTCGGCAAAGTTTGAATTTTTTAAAAAATTATTTGTTGAGTATCAGTGGTCATTACACTCGGCAAAGCTGGGAAAATGGTTTTCCGAGCTCCCATTTTTCCAGCTTTGCCGAAAGTGTCATGGCCATTGCACTCGACAAAGTGGTGAAAAGAACCTTTTTATTTATTTTTACATTCCATCTAAACAAAAGAAGATATATATAACAAACATCACAAATTGGTGTCACATTATCGTTGCATTAACATGCAGTACAACTAATAATACACCGTACCAATCATAGAAACATACATTGAGTTTCATTTATTAGCGAGTCCACTGCTGTCACATAGTTTGAGGACAATCAATTCACGATCAAGCTAACTAGTATGTATCAATTCACAATCAAGCTAACAAATATTTTGTCCTATATATCTTTTCTAAGGCAAATGGGTAGCACTTCCCTATATCTCGCATCAACATCTCTTGTCTTTGGTCAGAATCTCTTCTAGAGAGATGATCTGCAAAATGGTGAAACACGCTTGCAGAGATAACCGCTGGGCCTCTGCCTCCACGCACCGCACTGCTGCCTCCTCAGGCCTTCTATAGCCAGATTGTTCTACAAAATAAGACCACAAATCAGTAAGCATTTCAGTTAAATCAACCATAAGTTCATTCATAGTAAAGTGGAACCAAAGACAGATGCTGATTGTAAGACATCACCAAAACAACTTAATTATAGTTCATCATAATAGGCATGTACACTTTTCATAAGTCAAATGGGCAAATGACAAACATATTGAGAGCTCATGCCTTTTTCATAAACTACAGTCCAATATCATGCATTAAAGATATTTTCTAGCATTATACTTTACACATGAATTTAAATCTATCATACACCAGTAAGTTGAAAGCAGCAGCAGGTATCATCAGACAATGTTATAAAAGATGTACATCTAGGAACTGATGCAATTTAGATGAAGAAATGCTGAAGACAGTTTCTGAAACTACTATACTCATATTTGTTGAAGCATGAGGATCGTTCGATGCCGCCGATTGATTCTGCACACTAATATTAGTTAGTAGTTACTAATAGCTCGTCCGGTTAAGCGAGAACTACGCACTGATTAAATGTAACTTTGAAAGTAGTTAAGACTAGCATGTCCACACAGGTACTACGCACTGATATAGCATGTTAGAATGTAAAATAACAAAAAGACAAGCATAACAATGGTTTGCTGCTTCACAAGATGTACAGTAATGATTAATGTAAATATAGAGCTTTACCATGCGGTGAAGCAAAAGCCAAAGCAAAAGCCAACGGAGAGTGAAATTGCATTCTCTAATGACAGAACGAAGACTCTGAGAATTATTGAGCACATACTCCTTGTTTATGGCATGCATGTGAATATCCAAGTCAGCTAAAAAATAAGGAACCTGGAGTTGAAAAAAAAACAGCATGCAGAAGTCAAAAAAAGGAAAGTGAGAAAATTTCAGGAAAAGAATACAGATAGTCAATCCAAGAGGAGCATAGAAAATTTCAAGTTCAACTAATTTATGAATTAGAGAAAAAAAGTAGGTATTGAGCTGCAATTCACAATCAACATCCAAAACAGGAAAATCTTTGATAATAATAGAATAAAATGTTTTGCTATACTCACCTTTGTATAATGGTGAAGACTGATATCACGAATGGAAGTGGGAGAAAGGCAGGAAACTAATGATGACTTTGCTTCTTTGTATGCATCCCAAGAGACAAGTAAATCAACTGAGAAATGCAAGAATATGGGAACCACCTGAGTAGGTCCTCAGACTTCTGAATAGAAATAATGTCCAAGCTAAATGGTGATGAACCAGGACTAGCAGAAGTACCCGGGGTCGGCACATGCCGACGACAGAGCTCACATATCTGCTCCAGATTGGGATAGCTAAAACAGCGTTTGTACCGCAGGTGTGCCACAAGGAGCCTCTCGCGCAGCAACCCACCAATTTTGTGTTCCATTATAAGAATCATGCATCCGAACAGAGTCATTGACTCCACGAGTAACTGGCATGCGCAGTTATTCTCCAACACATGATCTAATGTGCAGTGGACATATAACCCTTCCTAAACATGAAAGAACACTCGTTTAGTGTCACTAAAATTGGGACTGGGGCATCATGTTTGACGCTCTAGTTCATCTAAAAATATTTAGCAACAATGGCATCAATCTACAAGTTACAAAGACACTGCAACGGCGCAAAGCCTAACCTGCAGATCATTCAGGTAATTGCAGAGCTCTCCGTGGTAAGTGACGGCGCCATCCAGAAAGGAGAAGAATATCTGCATGTAAGAGCCGCAGGAGTCACGGAGCTGATCTTCCAGTGCTTCCAGCTATTAAAACTTAAAGCTACGGTGGGTACTCGAGATGTGCAGATTTCTATCTACGAATAGGAGGAGAATTCACAAAGTTGCACTTTCGCATTGCGATGGTACGGATTTTATTATTTATGGCAGAGAACACAGCGAGAGATGTCACCGGAAGTCGAAGAGGACGGGGTCGAAGCGGCGGTCTGCGAACAGCGGAGGTGCGCGGTCGGAGAGCAGGAGCAGCTCAGCGATGAGGGCCTCCGCGCGCGCGCAGAAACCTAGGAGCTCCGGGAAGTCGCCGGCGTCGGTGCCAGAGGCGGGCGGGCGGCTTGTGCCAGTCTCCGCCATGGCTTGTGCCAGTCTCCTCCATGGGTGGGCCTGTACCTGCAGCAAGAGAGCACTGCCGCGGGGGCTGGCAGCTTGCGCGAGGACGCCGGCGGACCTCCGTGGCCTATCCCTCGAGCGCGAGGACGGCGGGAGAGAGGGAGCGGAAGCGGAAATGCGGACCAGAGCGGCGGCGGCTGGGGTGAGACCGTGAAATGTGAATGGGTTAGGGTTACGGTGCGCTGGGCCGGCGGGGTGAAATTCCTCCTTTGCCGAGTGCCCCCGATCCGTCACTCGGCAAAGTATTTTTTTTTAATTTTTTCTTAATTCTCTACCAAGTGCCACCTCGGTAAATAAGTTTTTTTTTAAAAAAATAATCTTTGCCGAGTGTCCTTGATCTGGTACTCGGCAAAATATTTTTTAATTTTTTTAAATTCTTTGCCGAGTGCCACCCGGCCTGGTACTCGGCAAAGAGGAGATTTTTTAAAAAAAAATTAAAATTCTTTGCCAAGTGCCATGCCCCAACACTCGACAAAGTTTTTTTTGTTTTTTTTGTTTTTGGCCTCCAAATTTTTTGGGCAACCCTTTTAGAGCACTAGAAACTCCTAGTTAGAATTTGGAGTTTTTTTTAGCTTTTTGATATATTTAGTTACTTTATTTAGTTTACTTGATTTTTTTCGAAAAATATAATTTTGAATTAAAAGCAAATTAAGTACGAATAATGAAATTTAATTATTGATAAAAATGATAGTAATATTCTTGAAGTGTAGTGTGTGTGAGGCCGTATCCAGGAATGGACATGTGATATTCGGACATGTAGAGATGTCCTGCTTGTAAGCATCGATGACGTGACAACTTACGCGAAACATTTTAAATTTTTATCACAAGAGTCCACATATGATATCATGACATCTTGACAAGTTTGATAATTTTTGACTTCGTTTCATATTTTTATAGAATTTAAAACAACTCGATCAAGAAGTTCGTGGTCATGTTTCGTGAACAAGATGTTCAAAATTTCGGATCCGCTCCTCGATACGGCCTCACACTACACTCAAGAATATGACTATCATTTTTGAATTATTAAATTCCATTATTCGTATTCACGCAGTACTTCAAAATTATATTTTTCAAAAATTCAAGTAAACTAAATAAAGTAACTAAATATATCAAAAGCCACAAAAATACCCAAATTCTAACTAGGAGTTCCTGGTGCTCTAAAAAAGGGTTGCACAAAAAAATTTGGAAGCCAAAAACAAAAAAAACAAAAAAAAAAAAACTTTGCCGAAAGTGGGGGCATGGCACTTTCTAAGAAGGGGTCTTTGCCGAGTGCCAAGAATAAGGCACTCGGCAAAGAGGGTTTTGAATTTTTTTTAAAAATTTTTCTCTTTGCCGAGTGCCTTCACAGGGGCACTCGGCAAAGACATTTTTTAAAAAAATAATAAATCTTTGCCGAGTGCCGTGTCAGGAGCACTCGGCAAAGTATTTTTCAAAAAAAAAAACTTTACCGAGTGCCAGATCTGGGACACTCGGCAAAGAAATTTCAAAAAAAAATTTAAATCTTTGCCGAGTGCCAGATCTGGGACACTCGGCAAATAAATTTTTTTTTAAAAAATAAATCTTTGCCGAGTGCCTAACAGCAGGCACTCGGCAAAGAAGGACGTGGCCGAACACCGTTACGCGGGGCAGCCTATGCCGAGTGCCGCGCTTTTGCAGAGAGTCTGGCACTCGGCAAAGAAGTCCTTTGCCGAGTGCACTTTTTTGCCGAGTGTCTGGCACTCGGCAAAGAACTCTTTGCCGAGTGCAATTCTTTGCCGAGTGCGGCACTCGGCAAAGAAGGTCTTTGTCGAGTGTCCGATTTTTAACACTCGACAAAGAATTTTGCACTCGGCAAAGGCTCTGAACCCTCATCGATTCGTTGCTGCATATAGGAACAGGCCACACTACGACTACTACCCAGCTGCTGTAAATTCAATCCGCAATCCACACACCCCACACCCCCACCCCCCTCTTTTTTTCCTTGAACCGGAGAGAAAAAGGTTACCCTAAGCCACGTCCGGCGGTCCAACTTTAACAGCTCCACCAAAATTCATTCGGTCTCGAAACAAAAATGTCAGTAGTCAATTTGATTCGTCTCGACGACCTCTACACATCCGAGTCTCTGATCTTCTATATGACTTATGGTTCAAAAAGTCAACTTTTCCTCCTATCTATACTCCGCCTTGTCAACATATATTTTAAAAAAAATCAGGGTATTACACGTGTAAGTTGGACGATGAACAAATGTACTTGACCTTAAAAATAATGCACCTTTCATTTTTTTTTTGAGCTCCTAACAAACATTATAAATACGGGATCAAGAGAAACTCATCTGTCCACTACTACAGACAACCACTTATGGGTGATTCCAAATGGATTGTAATATAATGTCGATTTTGAAACCAACAGTAGTCAAATGAGCGCAAATGCATATTACCACAGAGTTTTTAGTTAGAACCGATGGCATAAACATATTATCATGGTGTGTTATTGGCTCAATAAATGGTATATAGAGGCAATCCTTATAGTAATTAATTAACAGATGGCATAATTAAATCTACGTTCTAGTATTTTATAACAATTAACCACGATTTAAAGAAGCAAAAAAAAGTACCAATTGGCTGCAGCACGGGCACACCAGTCGTGGTCCACTAGTGTGCTGCCACTGGTGTGGGTTAATTGTTATATTACTAGTGGACCACCAGTGGACCAGTGCTGCCAGTAATAATACCAATCATGGTTAATTGTGTCATCTGCAAACCATATAACAGATGGCACAATGATATTACCACGATGGCAATGGTGTCAAAGTCACCGGCCGGGCACTGCCACGGCAACAGCAACAGGATGTGTAGGAGATGGTGGAAGCTACTGGGGAAGGCCGTGGCCATGAGGGAGATAGTAGGAGCAAAGAGTTTTTTATAGCCTTTCGTATTAATAAGAACACATAAATTTTGGTGAGAAAAAACTTCTTACAGTTTTTTTCAATTAGATCTCTAAATATGTCATCATCTATTTTGAGTCTCTCGCTAGTAAAAGATGGAAAGCGGAAATGGCTCTCCAGAGTGCGCATAAGATATAAAGAATCTGCAAGAGTGTGAAAAATCTATAGTGCAATTTTTATTCAAAAGACTCCATATGAGGATTTAGAGAATAAGTTTATGAAAGATTCTTGGAGATGCTCTAAGGGATAAAGGACAGTGATAAGTAGGATATGTGAGCCTGTGATTTATGACTATGCCAGAAGGTGCAAATATCCATCTCCTGAACCATGATGATCCGGTGATATAGCAAATTTGTTTTGGTGAGTTCAATCATAAACTCCCAACACACCTTATTCTTAGGGCAGCATTGTAGTCACGAATTGTAGGTAGAGGTCATCAGGCATCTCTACTAGCACTTTTGTTGCAACCAATGGTATATCAATAGAGTTTATACCATTGCTTCTTTAGCCCAATTTAATTTGTAGCATTGTTTTTTATGTGTAGCCAATAATATAAACGGTTTAAGCCCTCCTAGAGCAAGTCCGCTGGTACTGTGAGTTATTATTCTATTGAATGGTCGTTACAAGGCCTTTTTTTATGTCTAAATAAATACAAATGGACATAACTACTCTCTTACGTGTAAATTAAATGTTTTTTGTGACTTATGTGTAAATGAAATGTTGTGCAATTAGAATCTAGTCAGACAGCAGAGTGTTAGAAAGTAGATAGCCAGAGACAACGAGTGGATGTGAATGATTGTCTGTATTCCATTGAACAGTGATGTACATATATATATATAGGAGCCCAGATAGGCAATTATAAGTCTGAAAGATAGGTGAAAAGACACCCTTTCAGATTAATTCCTAATTGATCATTAAATAATAATTCTCAACACTCCCCTTTGATCAATTAGTTCCTTGTAATCTTCATTGTTCATTTATTATGCATCATTATGAATCTTTGGAAAACCCTGTGGGAAAAACCAAAGTAACACTGGCATACCAGATAAAACTCCTTAAAACCCCGTGGAAAAAATAAGGAGAAACACCATGATATACAATCACCAATGTTATTAGACCCTTTGAGATAAACCCAAAGTTTTAGTCTAGAAACACCTTGACGATATGGTCAATATGCATTAAATATCATCTTCCAAAAACCCCGGTGGGAAAAAATAGATGATATAGCATATACCTTTGTGTTGACATTGCCTCATCAAAAACTTTATATGAGAAACCATAAAAGGAAAACTCACAAAAAGAAAAGAGTACAATGCATCTTATGTCCCAAAATCGTCCACCAAAAACCCCTGTGGGAAAAAATGGATGATATGACATAACCTTGTGTTGATATTGCCTCATTAAAATCTTTATATGAGAAACCACATGGGAAACTCATACAAATAAAAGAGTACAATATGGTGTTTGCAACAAGTTATTAATCAGAGAGACTCTCCCCCTGATACTTGCAAATCTCGAAGTCAATTTGTACCAATGCACTCAACACATCAAATATGGAATATGGTAGATTTTGTGAATATCTCAGTGAGATTATCACACGACTTAGTTTGCAAATGTTCATATGTCCATATTACCTATGGAGTAGAACCATCTTAGTGCAAAAATATTCAATTAAGTATAACTTGTCTCCATCTACACAACACAAGTTGCATTACCTTTATAGATAATGACCATTGATTTAATAGAATCAACCCCACATAACCTCAGTATGTGATATATCATTCTGTCAAGCTATAAACATTCATGTAAAAGCCTTGTACTGTACAATATCAGAATGATTGGTGGAAATGACCACTAATGTCTATTCAAAAACTACCACAAAATGGTCTTTCCACATGTTAAGCCTTTTTAATGATCTAGAATTTAGGGATGTTATAGATAACCAGAATCATTATATCCAATCATATCCGGATCATGGGTTCTTACAAATGAACACACCAAGATCACATGTGCTATTAAGATATCAAAAGATATTCTTAAC